CCCGCTCTCCCCGCCCCGTGTGGCCGCAGCCCGGGCCGCCCCTCCCCGGAAGCGCCGCGCGGCCCCAGTGACCGCAGGTAAACAGCCAAGATGGCGGCGGCGCAGGGCGCGGGCCCGGCGGGGCCCGGCGGCGGCGGGACGGGCCTCACGGACCTGCCGGGCGAGCTGCTGGAGCTCATCCTCTGCTGCGACGTGCTGGGCGCCGCCGACATCGGCCGCGTGTCCTGCACCTGCCGCCGGCTGCGCGAGGCGTGCCAGCCCCGCGGGAAGGTGTGGCGGGAGCGCTTCCGCCTCAGGTGCGCACGGCGGGCACGGCCCGGGCCCGCCCGGGGCTGCGCTGGGCAGGGCAGGGCAGAGGGGGGGACCCGCCGGGGGCTCGGGGGAGCCGCGGGTGGTGCCCGCGGCCTCCCGGGCCTGGGAAGGCCGGCGGTGATCGGGGCGGGGGGGTGGAAGTGCAGCCCCAGCTCCCCGTCCCTGTGTCGCTTCCCGGCTCCGGCGGGTGCGCGGGGAGCCCCTCGCGGGCCGGACGAGCCCTGCGGCGTTCGGGGTGAAACCGTGGAGCGCTTTGGGTGGGAAGGGGCCGTAAAGATCATCCAGTTCCATCCCTCCCCTGCCGTGGGCAGGGACACCTTCCGCTAGGCCAGGCTGCTCCAAGTTTATCCCACCTGGAATGCTTCCAGGGATGAGGCAGCCACAGCTGTCCTTCCGCACTTCTAAAAGGGCTTTACAAGGCTGCCTCCCCTCCTGAATCCCACGGGCTGGGACCGGGCTGTGCCCTGGTGCTTGCAGGAGGTCTGTCCTGGCAGCTCTTTGCTAGAGATCGGTCCTGCAGCCCCTTCCACACCCGGGATCCTGCACTCCCCAGATCCAGCCGGGATCTGCCAGTGACACAGATCAGATCCACGTGCTCTGGAGTTGTGGCTTGGCCTCCCTGACCCCGACAGCACCTTCCAGAACATCTTCCAACACCTGCCCCGCCACGGGACTAACCCTTTACAGCAGAAAGGTGTTCCTTTGTGGTGCTTTGAGAAGAACTGTTTCCACGGGTACCGAAATCCTTGGGATGGACTTTTGCTGCTGCCGAGTTTCGTCTCGCCCAAGGGCACTCACAGGGTGCCTGGTGGGGGCAAAGCTGTGTTGTAAACCCTGAAGCTGTTCACATTTTGGCTGGGAATGAAGCAGAGGGGTGACATTGCTGGTGTTGTGCTGCTTTTAGCAGTCCTGGAGGCACCACCACTCACCGCTGTGGCCTCCAGCCTCTCTAGGATAGAACTTTCTCATCTGTTACCTGCTTTTTTTGTCTGTTCTGGCACGGGAAAAGCAGGCAAATTGCTTTCTCTAATTGCCACTTGGCTTCTAAAATGTAGCATAGCGCAAATGAGAGGATTATTCTCTTTTCACGGGTGAAAAAGGCCTATTGAACAATTACAGCTTCCCCAGATCACCAGACCGTGGCTTGGGATTGACTCTCACCAATTCAGTGGCTGTGTTTTCTGGAAGTTTAGCACTGGTTGGGATCCAGCAGCTGGAATGGGATGTGGTGGGTGATTAGCACACTCTGCTCTCCTCCTCTCTCCTTGGTAATGGGACTTTTGGCAGGAGGTTGCACGTTGACCTTGTTGTCCTGGCCGGATTCCATCGCCAGCAATTGCACTTTATCTTCCTAAAATTCCCAATATCATTTCAACCCAAGAAATTAGCCTTTCTCATCCCCAAATAAAGGATTGTGATGGTTATTGTGGGGTGGCTGCGTTTCAGCAGTAAAGAAGAGGCCAGGGATTTGGGTTGTTATGTAATTTGAAGTTATTTGACTTTATTTTGTAAAGGCAGTTGCAGGGCAGTTTAATTATTAACTGGCAGTGAAATATCTTCCATGTGTGGTCAAACCCACCTGTGCATTTGGTCACTGGTAATAATTTTTATACAGGAGTAGTGATTTAAATATTTGGCCTTCTCTCTATTTATCCAAGTAAATGTATATACAATCTGTAAAGAACCTCAGGTAATTTAGTGATAGTGATTTAAACATCTCTATTTATTAAAATAAATAAATAAATAAATAAATAAGGATAGACAGATAGAACCTGAAAAAAAATCAAGGCAGTCCCTGTGACTGAAGGAAAATGTTTTATATAAACCAGTAATAGTTAACAGAATTTCAAAACATGAAATAAAAGTCCCAGTGAATTGCAGGAGACCTTCCTCTCAGCTTTCTTTCCAAAATATTTTCGTCTGTGCTGATTCTTCCTCATGTTTCTTGCACAAGTGGTCTTGGAGTCTTCACAGCAGCCTTGGGAATTGCTGTGCTGGCACATATTTTATTGCACACCCACTTTGTTAGAAAAGATGCTGCTGACAGCCCCCAAAACACGACCTGGAGTTAGATTTTGAGTTGAACCTTGAAATTCTTAATAAAGCGTCTTAGTTTTTGGACTTCTAGACTCAGTAAAGCAGGTTGGGGAGGTTTTTTTTACAAGAAAGCTGTGAGGGTTTTTTTAAAAATAATTATTTATTGTGCCAAAAATGAACTGGAAGAGCATTCTGCTGTCGGGGTTGGACTACAGGATTCTGTTTTCCTCCAGTAGATGTTGCCACCAGCAAGGGCAGTGGAGGGAGCTCTGTTTTGTGCAGCCTTTTAATTAGACCCCGAGGTGGTAGCAGGAACACAGGACAATGTTTGGTGCCAAGTTGGCTGACATGGGATACTTCTTTGTGCTGAACTCTTTTAATTATCCAGCTAAAGCATTTAGGATATTTAGATGCTGAAACCCTGGCGTGTGAGCCTCTGAAGGTTTTCTCTTGGCAGGCTTTAGGAAATCTGACTTTTAAATAACCACGAAGCTGAAATCGGTGGGTTTGTGCTTTGATGTTTGGGTCGGTTTTACACAATTGCCTTTAAAGCTGGGCAGTGTCTCAGCTCCTCGGTGGTCACAATAAGCAGCATTTTACAGTTCTGGGGGCTCTCAGGGCTGTGAAATCCTAATGCTCCTGTTCCTTTGTGTCTCCTGGGGTAGGTGGCCATCCCTGCTGAAGTACTACAGCCACATGGACGGGGTGAGCTGGCTGGAGGAGTACAAGGCACGGCACAACGCGGGGCTGGAGGCCCAGAGAATTGTAGCTTCCTTCTCCAAAAGGTTCTTCTCAGAACACGTGAGTCCTCTGTGTGTCTGTGCAACAGCCTGGCCACTTGTTTAGCAGAATCATTATTAGAATCATTAATGGAATCATTAAGGTTGGAAAAGCCCTCTAGGATCATCAAGTCTGACCGCTAATCCAGCACTGCCATGTCCATCACTGAACCACATCCCCAAGTGCCACATCTGCAGATTTTTTGAACACTTCCAAGGACAGTGATTCCACCACGTCCCTAAGCAGCTTGTTCCAGTGCTTGACAACCCTTTCAGTGAGGAAATTTTCCCTAATATCCAACCTAAACCTCTCCTGGTGTAACTTGAGGCTGTTTCCTCAAGAGTGGCTGAACTTTCATGTCAGGAGGTTGTGTTCTTAAAAAGTTCTTAAGCTGTTCAAAAGGTATTTATTTCTCAGGTGGTTTTGCCTTTTAAAATTATTGTTATTATTATTATTAGGAAAAGGTTCTTCCCCCAGAGGGTGGTTGGGCACTGACCAGGCTCCCCAGGGCAGTGGGCACAGCCCCAAGGCTGCCAGAGCTCCAGGAGGGTTTGGACAACACTCTGAGGGACAGGATGGGATTTTTGGGATGTCTGTGCAGGGCCAGGAGCTGGACTGGATGATCCTTGTGGATCCCTTCCAGCTCAGGATTATTCAAAGATTGCGCTTCTTTGATTTTAATTCATACTTTTCCTATTTATCTTGTCTCTCTCTTCACATCATCTCAACTCTGCAGTCAGATAACTTCATATTTCCTCACTTTGTGTGACAGTGCTAATCCACAGTCAGCAGGGGAGAGAGGTCAAAATCCAAAGGTCCAACACACGTTGCATTTTCAGCTTTAAAAACTCTCTGCTCACGTCTGTGTGTTCAGACCCAGCTCTGGGAGCTTCTGAAGGCCGGGGTGGTTTGTTGACAATGTAGGACAGCCCCTGAATTCCTCCCCGCAGACCTTGAGCAGGGCTGTGTTCTGGGAGCTGTCACAAGGCATTTGGAAGCAGGAGCAAGGCACAATAGGGTCACTGAATTGGAAAGGGTGTGATTGAGGTTCTTCACCCAGCCATGACACCGAGATGCTTTTGTGTTCAGTGGGAAAAAGGTGGAAACGTGGTGTCTTGGGGAGACTGACTCGCACGTGGAGCAGCAGATATTTCATTGTCCGTTTGCTTAGTTGGTGGCTGTGAATTTTGGGCAAGTTGTACAGTTGGGTCAGCCTGAAATTCTCTGAAATAAGCATAAATGCTGCCTGGAAATGTGGCTGAATTTAAAAGTTCACCCCAGAGCCACTAAGCAGCCACCCCTCTGTGTCTCCTGTGCAAAAATATCGTGGTCCAGTAGAAAATTCCCTTAAGATACAGGAGACCTGTGTTGAAACCCTCTCCCCTGACTTTCAGCAAGGGTTGGCAGGTAGTGTCTCTCCTGGAGAAGGTGGCTGTGGGGCAGTGGGGTATTTGGTGTCTCTTGGCTGTTCTCTCCCACTGTAGCTGCAGCAGACACACATCTGTCCGTGGAGAATTGTCAGAGCATTAACTGGGAAAAGCAGCTCCTGGATTGCTGTTCTTTTAATCACGTATGCAAAGACTTCTGAGAGACCATTAAGCAATACCCAAAGGCCTGATAATGAGAATCATCTCCTGTGGGGCAAGAAACTGCAGCTTGATTCCCTGCTTAGAACTGAGAGGAAGAGACTTTCAGCCCGTGTCTTATACTGAGAAGCGAATTTTTTTATAGTTCAAGCAGAAACTTTAAAAATAATTCTGAATTCTGGAAGAAAATAGCTGTTCTTAATATAGATGCATAAGTGGTTGATTCAAAAAATAAAGGCTCCTGCCTCTTCATTGCTTCCCCCAGGATTAATCTTAGGCACTGAGGTTCAACCAACCACAGGCAAAAGTTGATTCCACCTTAAAATGACTGCATAAGATGAGATGTGCTTGTGCTGGTCCTTAACCCGCCCTAGGAGCCCCAAATACTGTAGAATTTGGCTCAAATTGCTGTAGGATATTACCAGGGCTCTCAATGGATCCTTGTAATAAATCCATGGAGTACAGACTGTGAGTATTTGGTGAGCTGGACATTTTTAAGGTCTTGCATGGATTTTAAAAAGCGGGACAAAATCGGGGTTGAGACTTTTTTCTGCAGTTCTGTTCTGCTGGGAGGAATCTGTTGTGCTCTGCATAACTCCCTGTGTGGTCCCACAGGTCCCCTGTGATGGATTCAGTGACATTGAGACTCTGGGGTGCCCCAGTCACTTCTTTGAGGATGAGCTGATGTGTATCCTGAACATGGAAGGAAGGTAAGAGAGAGAGAGGGATGAGAAATGCCAGGAATTTTCCCTCTTTCACCAGTTAAAGGGGAGCAGTGCTGTGGGGAAAGCCTGACCTCAGCTCCTGTCCTTGTGCCCCTCATTAAACAACACCCCCAGGCCCACCAAGGCTGGCACATATTCCTGTGGGTTTAATTGCAGAACAAATTGAATATTTCCAGAAGGAACCACGTGAACTGTCCCACAAAAAGGAGTCCCCTGGCTTGGTGTTGCTTATTTCCTTGCCACTTCATGCCATCTCTTGGGACATGTTCCATGTACCCCCTTCTCTACAGCAACTTCCCATCCTCATGTTCCTTTTTTTTATTTAAGCCTGGATCAGTTTGCTGAACTGCTTTTCAGGATCATTCCCACCAGAGGGAAGCAGGAATACTTGAGGACTGCCACCCTGAAGCCATGTGTCATGAAATTACAGCTCTTTGTTTTCTTTTCCTCTTGTTGCTTTTCGTAGCTGTAGTAGGTTGGTGCAATTTTTTATTCCCAAATAAGAGTTTAATTCAGAGTTTAAATCTGAGTTTAATTCAGCCACTGCAAACGTTACAGTTCTGTAAATTATTCAGACAAATGAAATGGCAAGTGGGTAAATAAAACTTCTGGTTTGCATCTGCCTGGCTTTTCTCATCACCAGGGTGGACACTGGACAGGGTGAATAAGTCTTTCCTTGGAGGTTTTTCTGCTGGTTTTGGTGTGATCAAAAGCAATGATAGATTGCTCTTAATGGGGCCTAAAAGCCTTGATTAGAGGGACTGTCAGTAGAGCTTGAAAAAACCTCACTGGAATGGCAATCATCTCATTTTTGCCTTTTTACAGCCATTTTATTACCTTTGCCATTTGAACTGGGACTGAGCATCCCTCACTTGATGACTGGTTAAAAAGCTTCTGAGCCCTTTTTAGTTGGCCAAATGCATCCCCATAAAGCAGAATTGCTGCTAATTACCCCCTGATTAAGCTGTACTCATTGCCATTCAGCAGCATTAGGCTAAATCATTGCTCTGGAAGACATCCCAATAAAGCAGTTGTCCCTATTGAGGATCCCAGTTTATTGGAAGAGGATAAAACGGGATGGGGTTGGATTGTCCTCCTGTCCAGGAGGATGGAGGAGCCTGACTTGACCTGCAGTCTGGAGGACAGGAACTGTAAGCAGGGAAAGAGGTTTTTTTTTCTGGGCTTGTTTTAAACACATGGCAAGGGCAGAGCCTGGGAAGGAGGAGAATTTTCCCTTTGGGTGTTTTTGAGGCCAGGGCTTGTTTAGATGCCCGTGGTGTGAACACCTCTGGGTTTGTCCTGTTGCAGGTGAGCTCCTCAAACCTTCCCTGGACAGTAACCAGCTCTCCAGTGCTGCTTCTCTGCCTCCACCTGTTAATTTAGAAAGTGATGGGTCTTTCCTATAAAAAGCTTTGGAATTGTGTCATCTGCAGACCAACTGTTGATCCGTTCCTGCCTTTTCAGAGCAACAGAGTTGGTTTTCCTCAGGGGAATTGTGTGTTTTTCCTGAATACTGTTGGACTCACATTCATATCCCTCATCAGTTCATTTTTAATGCTGAGAGGGTGCTTTCAGATTGACTCTGGAGGGATCCACTCAGACAGAGGGTAATGTTTTATGAATGAAATATAGGATTTTTATGAGATATTCCTGAGCTACTTTAATTAGGATCTGTGTTGTTTCCCATGATAATGCACCTACTCAAAGTTATATATTGGTGATAGGATGAAAATCAGAGATGGTGGGAACAATGTTTTGAAAGTATCTTACCTTGTGAGGGTTTTGATGATAAATTTCCTTTAAACATTTCCTTTTTGGGCTGACTTTTCAGCGACAGCGTTGTCAAACTCGTTAAAAAAAGCAATAATCTAAATTATAAACTCGTTTTCACCGGAGAAGTTCAATCAAACATTCACCCTTAAAATACCTGTTTAGGGCAATGCTGCTTCTTGTATTTAAATGTGCAGGAAAGGCCTCACCTGGAAGTATTATGCAAAGAAAATTCTCTATTTCCTGCGGCAACAGAACATATTAAAAAACCTGAAGGAGTATCTGCAGCGCCCGACTGAGCGACAGTCCTTCCTGGAGGGTAAGTCTTGGGCAGAAATCCCGTGTTTTGCACCTCCTGACAGCTTTCCCATTGTTGTTTTGCTTGGAAGGAACCTTCCTTGCTTAATATTTCAGCTGGCCTCGGGACTGTCCCTCAAGAACTGGGTGCAGGGTAGGGATGGGGAGTGGCTGGAAGTCCAGGCATGGGTGGGACAGTAACCTGTGCACCTGATGAGAAGAAAAAAAAGGTTTTTCTTCTAATCATGTCTTCACTCTGGTGGGTTATTCTCCTTTCCAAGCTTCCTGTGGAGAAGACAGTCTTCTGAATGCATCCAAAGCTGCCAGTGGCTGTAGAAGAGTCCCTCACTCTTGGTGTACTCTCCAAAATGCCCCATGAAAGAGCCTCTAACACCACAGGTGGTTCTTGTTGGTGGCAGTAGACTTTGGCTTTCCCTTCTTGTCCTTCTCCACAGTGGCTTTTTTTGGACAGCTGTTTATGTGACTTAATCATGTGGGTCAAAAATAGGTGCACAAATAGTCTGCCACGAAGGGCACATTATTAGAGCCATATTAGAGCACCAGAAGGTCTCTTGTGAAGTTCCACCTGGCCAGCACAGGGAACATTTGAAGGGGACTAAAAGAAGCCATGGTTTGGGGCCCTGCTGAATTCCTGGAATTCCCTGCCATGGATGTGCTAAAAGAGCCATGTGGGAATCTGGGAGAGGTGTGGTCCATGCAGAATTCCTGCAGGTGTCTGCAGTTGATTCCAAAGACTGGACAATGTGAGGCTTTGGAAAGAGCAGTGATGACAAGGAGAAGATCCTGTGACAGGGATAGGTTTGACAGAAGAGGTTTGGGCAGAAGGAAGATGAAAGTTTGTTCTGTTCCAGTGGGGTTTTGGATAAGAAGATGGAGGGCAGGTGTGGAAGGGAAAGATGAGTGTAGCAGAAGAGAACAAGAATGATAGCTATGGAAGATGCTGCAGAAAGAAATCAGAGCTGAAGCACAAGTGAAGTTGGGATTGTTTCAGGCTCTGAATACAAAGCACTGTGAGTTGGGAAGGTGCCAGGGGATGCGGTGAGACCGCAGAGCTGGCTGGTTCAGCCTGGCCTAGCAGCATACCTGCTCAGTGTACAAATGCACTGCTTTCCCCTTCAGGGTGGTGGAGAGGGGAATACTGAATTTAACTGGTTATTTATTGTGTCAGCTTATTCCTTGCATTTTCTGTGATCAATCCAATATTTGGCCGCACGTTATAGACCGACGGCTCTGGTGCTCTGCTGCAATCCCTCGCTGCATGCCTGGAATGCAGAGCAGGCAAAACTAAGCAAAGAAAAAAAACTGAAGTCCTGTTTCTTATGTAGTTTGTCTCTTGCAGGTGCTGTTTTAATTGATCAATACTGTAACCCCCTGTCAGACATCTGCCTAAAAAGCGTCCAGGCGCAGGTGGACGATATCACAGACAAGGTGCGCAAAGTCCTGCGGACCAAAAACCCCCGGCACCCCAGCTTGGCTTCCAAGGCAGGTACTGTATGGAAAATAAAGCTCTCCTGCAGCTCTGGGTGCAGGCAGACGAGGGGAAACAGCTGTTGAGTTGTGGCAGCTTGAGGAGTTGTTGTTCTTTATCCCCTGGCAAACACATTCTGACGTTTGCTTAAACCATCAGTCGGGAAAGAGCTGTTTGTTCAGCCCCAGAGACCTCCCAGCCCGGGGTTCATCCATCTGATGCTGTCTGAGCAAACAGAACTGGGAGGGGAGTTCTTTCTTTTTCCCATTTATCCTTGAAGTCTTAATAGTCCTGATATGTGTAGCAGAGCTGTGGGCAGGGAAACAACCTGTTCTCTGCAAGCCCCAGAAAAAAGGTGCATGTTTTAACATCTCCAAAGGTCAATGTTTTCTCTGACATGGTTGGAAAATTATCTTGAGCTGGAATAGCTGCTATTAAAGTACATCAGTCTAATACATAAAGCTACTTGATTGAATTAGTGGTGCAGTTAGCAATTGCTTGGTTTTATTCTGGTCTTTGAGTGTGGCAGTGGTAGGAGCCATTGTCACTTCTCAACTTACTTTGGTTTCTTTTTAGGGGTGAGGGTATCACTGTAAATCATTTATAAGATGCAGTTAATAACAGACCCTCTAACAGTACTTTCTTCTGCAGTTCTAAATACTCATAATACAGCAATTCTTGATTATGTGGGGCTTTTAGGCAGAAAACAGGCTCCTCAGAAAAAAAGATGCTTTTTATAAACACCCTGTGATGTTTTCCTGGCTTTCAAGGGCAGAGTGAGTCCACGTGAAGCTTTCTGGTGTGAAGATCACTGCGCAGAGGTGAAGTGCACTTGTTTTCTCAGTCTTTGTCTCCTTGCACATGTTTTCAGGAGAGGTCTCTGTCCCAGAAGTGGAGCTCCAGCGGCAGGTGCTCGATGCCATGAACTGTGTCCTGTACGAGCAGTTAAAATACAAAGGAAACGAGCTGGATTACTACAACTCCCTGAATTCATACATTCACCAGGTACATTTTTGGCAAAAAACCACGAAGCTGCAAGGCCTGAGACATTCTGTTTGTGATGGCTTTTTGTCCAAGTGTTGCCAGACAAATAACTCTCTGTGAAGAACAACTTGCTGTAAAATACACTATAATATTTTAAGGCGTATTGTCTCGAGTTGTGGTGTTTTCATTTGTGAAATCAAACCTCAGGGTTTTGTATTTTCTCTCAATACCCCACGTGTTTTTCTCACCTTTGTCTCCCCCAGGTTTTGATCCGCAGGACAGGAATTCCCATCAGTTTGTCTGTGCTTTATTTAACAATTGCCAGGCAACTGGGAGTCAAACTGGAACCAGTCAACTTCCCCAGCCATTTTCTCCTGAGGTGGTGTCAAGGAAAAGAAGGGTGAGTGGCCTGCTGAATTTTGAAGCCAGAAAGCATTTACAGCTCCAGACCTATATGAAAATGTGTCATTATTTTCCACTTGGAATTGTAACCTATACAGAGGGAAAAGATCAGACCTCTAGAAAAGTTTTCCCACAAAAATCAGCTCTGCTGCTACTGAGTGGGAACAGATTTCCTGAAGTAACAGTAACCACAAGGTGTTGTTTCCCTTAAGAAAATTAGAAAAAGGAAGGGAAGGTACCAGGAAATCTCTGTTTAGGGGGGAGCTGAGGAATAAATGATGCTTATTTTACAAAAGTGCTGAGGGAAGAAGAGAAATGGCTGATCCTGCTTTACCAGCAGACCCTTCCTGACCCTTTCTTTGTGGTGTCTCAGGAGCACAGATATTTTTGACTACACCTACATCGACGCCTTCGGGAAGGGGAAGCAGCTGACGGTGAAGGAGTGCGAGTACCTGATCGGGCACCACGTGACAGAGGAGTTCTATGGAGTGGTGACTTCCAAAGAGGTCCTGCAGCGCATGGTGGGCAACCTCCTGAACCTTGGCAAGCGGTGAGTTGAGGATCTCCTGACCCCTGAGGGCCCCCGGAGTATCCTGGCATCATATCCAAAATTGCTCCTTCACAGTTTGGGAGCGAGTGCTTCAGAAAGGTGTCAGTCACCCCTTGAGATCCTCAAAATTCTGTCGATCACAATCCATTGTCTGGTTGCCTTTAATCACCTTCACCTGAGTGGAAATAAGAATATTTAGTAAAATTAATTCCCCTCAAGAAAATAGATCTTTTTTTTTTTTCCCTTTGTGAAAAGATTATAGGGACTGTCCACCCTTCCCTTGAGAGCAGGGACCTTTGTTGTGACCTGGTAAGCACAACCCACATGCTCAAAGGAGCAGTTTCAGGGATACTGTTGGTGTGTAGAACATCTGAGTTTTATTTCCAGATGCCCCTGATACTCCCTTTCCCAAGTAGCCACAGGCAGAACTCACAGGAGTGAAAGGATTGCTTGAGGTGTTAAGGGAACAAAAGGAGATTTCAGCAGGGAGTGGCTTGATGAGTGAATTCCCTGTGCAGGATTGTTTGACAGCAGTGGAGTGGGAGGGCAGAGCCCAGTGTCAGCTGTGTAGGGATTTTCCTCCTGAGCTGTTGGATGTGCCCAGTCCGTGCTGGAGTCGCTGAGGGAACACACCCGTACCTGTAGCATCATTTCTGGGGACTCTCCCTGTCCACTGGAGTACTGGGGGTAGGGGTTGCAGAGCCTTACAACTGGGTTTCTTTTCTGCTGGCAGAGAAAGCACTGACCAGTCTTACCAGCTCTTGAGAGACTCCTTGGATCTGTACCTGGCCATGTATCCGGACAATGTGCAGCATCTAATGCTCCAGGCTAGGTTATACTTCCACCTGGGAATCTGGCCAGAAAAGGTACCTCTCCACTTGGTTGGGTGTTTTTTGGGTAGGCTAAGCACTGTTAACACTGGGCTATTGATTTTTGGGCTGCCTCAGCTTGTGTTACAGTCTGCCACAAGTTGTTGCTGTAATAAATGCAATGGAATGAGTTATCATGTTGCAGAGAATCAATCCCTACCATGCAGAGCAGGGAAGAGGGGATGATTCTTGCCTGCCTGCTTGTCCTAGGGGAGACTCATGAGCAGCCTTGAGTCATAATTCATGATTTACTGCCCAAGCCTCACAGCTTATCTTGCAAACAACACTTTTAGCTGTTAAGTTACAAGATCATCCTGTTTAAATATGCCCGAATTGTGATCAAACTCCTGCTGGACTCCTATAAAAGGAGCAGGAAACTTGAGGAAGTTATCTTTTATAAATATGACCAAAGCTGTTCTCTGGAAACTTGGCCACACAATCTGTGGCTCTAGTGAAAAAGCAGCTTGATATTCCTGTCCTTGGAATTCTTTTTGATTATTATTATTACCTTTAGTGTAGCAACTCGAGTCCTGCAATCTTGTGAGTGTGGGAAAGAAGGTGCTGGGACTTATGAGTTGTCTAGTTCATCCAGTTCTTTCACTGAATAAGGGAAGAAGCCTGTAACTCCAAAAAGTGTAATTTCTTTAGTGCTTCAGTGCAGCAAAGAGGTCAAAATTTCCTGTGTTGCTTCAGCAAAGCTCAACTTTTGGACAGTGCCAGTCCCAAATGTGAGGTGTGGGGAGGGGGCAGGAATATTGGCCGGACATCTGAGCAGACAACAAAGCTTTTTCCACCAGATTATCTGAGACAGGACTGCTGAAAAGCTGCCTGCCTTCCTTTTGAAGAACAGCCTGTGCTGAGCTTGGAGTTCCTTTCTTACAGCAGCAAGTTTTAGGGTGACCACGGGAAAAACAGCACCAAGAAACTGTGCGTGGGAAGGACTCACTGATATCAAATGGCAACTGTACATAAATGGGGGAAGCTCAGTGAAACACTGGAAGATCTTCCTCCCCCTTCCTGGCACTCAGGGATGTGTTTGTGAAGCCCCAATCCTTGGATTTACTGTCCTCAGAACACACATGGCTGAGTTTTCCATGTAGGTTCTCTGCACCACGTTGCCAGATGCAATGGAAATGGACAAATTTGGACTTTCCAGAATTGCACCCAGTCCTTCCAGGCAGTTAACCAGAGAGAATGCTCTCTGTCTGACAGGGCAGAAGGTACCAGATTTTATAGGGCACTGCCAGATTTATGGGAAGTGGTAGAAAATCTTAAAAGTCATACAGAGTGTTGTCCTAAATATTTTCAAGTGACAGTAAATGAAATTCCCTCGAATGTCTGGCAGCTGTGGTTACTGTGCTAGGCCTTCCCCTTCCTGTAGGATTTTTCAGGATTTTCAGCTCCTTCTTAATTCTTCAGAGAATTAAAGTGGCCATGAAGCCTGAGCTGTGTTTCTTCTCATACCAAATTACTCACTTCTTTCTTTTTTGATTGATTGATTTTCCTCACTTCTTGGCTGATGGAACCTGAGATTTCTATTCTTTTGCTGCTGCTGCTCTAAACTTAAGAGGGACCAAACCTTCCAGCATGTGATCAAGGAGACAAACATTTTGCCAGGTGCTAAAGTGTGTCAGATTTTGGGGCTGTGGCATCACTTGAGGTATTTGATGTTGGGACAGCTCTGTGTCTCTTTTCCCAACATGTTTAGACAACAGGTTGGGGATTTTTTCCTCGCTTTTAACAAAAAACGTGAAATTTGCATCGCCTGCCTCTGACAAACTTGGCAGCAGATGCTCTGATGTTGTGCCAGAGGGTGTTGGAAGGCTGGAATTCTGGATCTACAGGGCTTGCTGCTTTAAGAGCACGTTTAAAGCTGGTGTTCTTTCCTCATCCTGAGGCAGGCAGGTTTTCTGTCTTGTTCACTCTTCCAGGGGAAAGCATCACAGAGGTTTATTTGCATTTCCTTCAGTGCTGCCCCGTTTTTCTCTGCCAGGCTCCCACAGACACACTGAGGAACTCTTTTAAGTGAAAATATTAGTTCTCAAGTGCAGCAGGAGTCACGTGGAATCACTTCACAGCAGCAGTTTGGGGGACTAACAACAGTACCCTCATAACATTTCAGAAACCATGAAAAACACTCTCATCGGTGCCCTGTGTCACAAAATGCAGGGTGGTGAGCTGGTGTGACTCAGTTTTAAGGAGCTGCTGTGCTCACCAGTGCCCTTCCTTGGAAGCCAGGAGCTGTACAAACAGAAAAGGAGAGCACTGTGTGCAGTTTGTGCAGATTAGGCATGGAACAAGCAGAGAGCTCAGTGTGGGAAGTTCCCGTGGCGGATCTCTAGGCCTGGGCTCTTACACCAGCTGAGCACAGCAGTAGATCTGTATGTATTTATACAAGTGCTGCTGCAGAGGCTGGTTCTGAATGTCCCTTTGTTTTGGTTGCTGAAGGTCCTGGACATCCTGCAGCACATCCAGGCCCTGGACCCGTCTCAGCACGGGGCCGTGGGGTACCTGGTGCAGCACACCCTGGAGCACATCGAGCGGCGCAAGGAGGAGGTGGGGCCTGAGGTGAAGCAGCGCTCGGACGAGAAGCACAAGGAGGTTTGCTTCTCCATAGGGCTCATCATGAAACACAAGAGGTGAGCTCTGCATGGTGCTCTGCACCCCCAGAGCAGGAGGGTTGGCTGTGGCAGCAGCTGGAGCTGCGATGGGAAATGCCAGGCACGTGCGTCTGTGCCGTGGAGCGTGGAGGGAAATGGGAGCAGCCCTGTCTGTGCTCGGAGAGAGCGAGTGTTGGCACTGCTGCTGGACTGCAGAGAGGGTTGGGAGGGGACTTGTCTGAGTCATCTGGTATCACACAGGTAAAATTTCCAGAGCTCTCCAAGAAACGTCACCATCGGTTAACGAGGGACTGTGGAGCAGAATCGACTTCAAAAGAGATTCTTATGTATTCTGCGGAGGTCAATAAGCTATCACAGGGGAGGCAGAAAACTGGAATCCTTTATTGAGTTCACAACTTCATATTTAAAGGGTTCAGGCTTTACATATTCAACGGGGAGTTCTACATATTTATGGTATTAAAATTGGGGGGTTTCACAAGGATGAGGTAAGGGAAAAAACGCAGGTTAACATTTTTGGGGTCTTAGGAATTACATTATGGGAAAACCCCACTTTAACTTGGGCGGTGATTTTACAGGGGGGACAGGTAACACAAAAGGAGAGAGAAAACACAATGGGTCTTCTGCACAGATTGATCAAATCAGGGTATGGTCTCTCTGGCTTGGGCAGGGCATGTGATAACATCATGCAAGGAGTCTCTTCCATTGTGCTGGAGGAGGCAGGAAGAATCCACAGTGATGATGTTACTAAAAAGGGTTTTTCCCCAGCTTCTGTGACTCAAGGTTTTCTGTTTAAACCTAGCAGTTTCTTTTCTCATATCTAAAATTTGGAATCCAACGATATTCTAAGAGCGTGTGGATCTTTCCCTGTGCTGTTATTCCCTCCTCTCCCTGCACTGCACAGGGGCTTTGTGTTGCTGTCTGTGCTGCTCTGCCACAGTGACATGCCAGCATGGCCACTCCTCTGACTCAACAAGACATGTGAAGCATATTTGAAGGGCATCAGCAGTGACAGTTATAATACCTCTCGATTAATCCCATAAATATTCCATAAATAACGATGCCTTTGTTTCTGGGAGCTCAGGGTTGGGATTACCACATCCGTGTGATGGCACAGAATTGCACAGTGTAGCAGGGTGGTTCATTCCCTCCCTACTTCTTGTTCTGCCTGCTGACTCCCAGTCTCTTTCCTATCTTCTTTTCTTGCTCACATTTGGTTTTCCTTTGTCCTCAGCTGTTTATTCCTGTCTGTTTCTCCAGTCACTCCCAGTCATTTCCCTGCACCTCAAAATAACACACACCATCTTCCTGAATTGGGTTTTTTTCTTCCCTCTCCTTCCCGTGCCAGCTCACAGGAGGTTCCTATCCTGTTTGTGCTATATTAGTCTGGAGGGAAAAGAGCTGGCTCTGGGGTTTTCACAGTGTTTGGTGTCCAATTCCTGTCCTTAGATACGGCTATAACTGCGTCATCTATGGCTGGGATCCCGCCTGCATGATGGGACACGAGTGGATCCGCAATATGAACGTCCACAGCCTCCCCCACGGCCCCCACCAGCCCTTCTACAACGTCCTGGTGGAGGATGGCTCGTGCAGATACGCTGCCCAAGGTGAGCAGGAGCCTCCTCGTGCTGTGTTTGCCGAGTGCATTGGGAGAAAGGGGTGCTTCAGTGAGTGACTCTTTCATGTGAAACATAAACTGTTAGCAAATGTTAGCCAGGAAGGAAAATAATCCTGAGTCTTGTTTGCTCTCCATGAAATCAGCACTGCAAGGAATGGGCATTAAGGCCCACTCTGGTGTAATTTCCTCTTGCCCAAGAAGTGTCTTTAAGCGACCTTAAAACGCTTGTTCGTGACAAATGTGGTTGGTTTTATGGTGTGAACCCTATGGTTGCTGCTTTGAAAGAAGTAATTCAGCTTTTGCTGAAGGCTGAAGGTCTGCCAGCAGCTCTTTCTTGTGGAAATAACAGCTGTGCCTTGGACAGGACCTGGAAACAGGATCTACTGAGGGAGCACACAGGCTTTGCTTGCAGGACCTGGTTCTGAGCAGCTGTCATCGAGACAGCACGTGCCAGGATCCCAGAGAACACAGGTACCCTGGCTTTTAGTGCCACCTTAATAAGAACAAAAGTTAATGTCTCTTTACAAATGCAGAGAGGTGTGGAAATCTCTATATCACATGTTCTTTATGCAACATAACCGTAAGAGGAAGTTCCTGATGGTCAGAATTTGTGGTTAGGATACGGGAAGAGGCGTCAGGCTGAGGTTCAGAAGAAAATTAAAACAGAAAAATGCATCTGTGATTCTGTATCTTGCCAAAAGAGTGTTTGTTTGCCTCATGTTTGTGTTCTCCCTGTGATAGGGAGGCAGGGCAGCTGCACAGCCAGAGTGTGTTTTGCTAAGAGAAGATGTGGAAGCTGCTGGAAATGCTGGGATATAATCAGCCCATTCCTTAGGTGCTCCCTAGATATTCTATCCCCACAAACAAGAGGTGCTTTTACAGGAAGGGACACTTGTACCTTTGTAGATTTAAAGTGCAGGTGTCTCCCACTGTCCTAGAGTTGCTTTATATTCAGTGATCCAAAAAAAACCCAACAAAAAGTGGGAGCATTGCAGCTCAGCTTGATGGTCCATATTAGGCAGGGCTTGGCCTCTCAGAGAGTCTTAAAAACCAGAAATTCTTGTGTGCCATGGGTTGATATTAAAATATGCGTCTTAGTGGAGACTAATCAGGTAATTGTCCACAGTGCTGCTGGGGCTGAGTCACTGCTTAGCTTTTGTCTCATGGTTTATAAACAGGCAGAATTCTGGCTGGTCCCAGGGTGTGTTTCAGCCAAGCATCCAAGTGTTCTGATATTCCTTGGGAGAACTGTCGGGTTTGTCCCCATTTGCTGCCTGGCTGTTGCTATCCCCTCTGAACTGTGTCCCGAGATCACCTGGGAAGGATGATTTCATAACCCCCTGACCTGACTCTGGGGAGGGAATGTGAGTTTTTTACTGAAAGACTCTTAAACAAATCTGCATGTGGAGTTTAATCTGACCAGCTCAGGAATAACACCGAGCTTGTTACGGGTAAATGTAGCTCAGTTTGAGGCCTTCCTGTCAATGTGATTCCAGAACACCTGGGTCATGCAGCGAGTTTGGTGCCTGTGTTTTGTATCCCTGGCTCAGAACTGCTTATCAGCACATTTGGGAGGCTCCCACCTTGTGCTGAGCTCGCTTGCCTGAGCCTCTCCCCCCCTGCTTCTCCCTGTGCACAGCTCCCTGCTCAGCCCTGCTGCTGCAGAGCCCTCGGACTGGGAATTCTTTTCCGCAGTGGTGCAGTATCCAGAGAGGTCCTTTGCAAGCCTGTAGGACTGGACTGCACCACTGCTGAGGGATAGAAAGCCCTTGTGCTTCTGCAGCAGCTTCAAAGAGCCTGCATGGATTAATAGGAATTCTCTGGGCTCTCTGTAGTGAGCTGAATTTCAGAGACGGATTATTCCTGAATGACATTCTCTGCATCACGTCTTGTTCCTGCCCTGGCCAAAGTCAGGCTTGGAGACTTAGGCAGCTTTTTTTTTTTTTCTTCTAGATAATAGTTCCTGTATTATCTGGCACTGTGCTGGAAAAAAATGACATCATTTGGGGACTGCTGCAGGGCACCTGTGTGGGATTTACTGCCAGTCATCCTGCTCTGTGCTGACCCTGCAGAGCAGGGCCGCTCTGGGCTGGGGTCACCCTTGGGTTTTAGTGTTGGTTTAACTCTTGTGCCTAATCAGGTTATCTTGTAGTACAAAGGAGGAAATGGGCTGCTCTGGGAAAGAATCAACCTGCCTTTCTTAGGAACTTTGGTTTAACTTGGGGAAGTTTGGGTTTAGAGAAGTTGATTTTGCTGTGAGATGCCCAAAACCCAGGCTGGGCACTTGGCATGGTGGAAACACAGGCTGAGCAAGGAAGCACTTGGCTCATTTGCCAGGACAACCTTGTGCAGGTGGGCTCAGCTTGGAGCATTTGAGGAGGATCTCTCCCAAAACTGATCTCCCATGGGTCATGAGGATTCAGAGCTCAGTGCAGCAGCTGCTCCCTGCACTTACCAGAGTGGGAGCAGCATCCTGCTGCTCCAGCCCAGTGTCAGGCAGTCTCAGGCATAAAACAGTTCTCATGCCACTGGTAAATGGGGTCACTTAGGAGGTGAGGCTCTGTGCCCCCTCAGACTGCCATATTCCATGCACATTTTCCTGGATTAGGGTTTTTTTTTAATTCAAAGCATTGAGATTTGGTGTTTCTAGAGCCAGAAACAAGGCCTGAGACAGGCCCAGGGTTTCTTGCCTGGCAGTTGGGCCATTTCCTGTGGAGATAACTGATCCTTTCCCTTCCTGGCAGAGAACCTGGAATACAACTCCGAGCCTCGGGAGATCCCTCACCCCGACATCGGCCGCTACTTTTCCGAGTTCACCGGCCTTCACTACCTGGCAAATACTGAGCTGGAAATTCGGTATCCAGAGGATTTGGAGCTCACACGAGCCACGGTTCAGAAGATCTACAACTCAGGCAAGGAGTGAGTGCAGAAGGCAGCGTGAGGACAGAAGCAGCTGGAGTGTAGCTTTACCCTCTTGGCAAAACTTGCGTGGAAAGCAAGTTCGGTGACAATCCTTTGGCTTGATAATGCATTGAAAACTGCATTGAACTTTGAAACTGGTGCTACAGCATCTTCCCCTTGCCTGCCTGCCCGTTCTGGCCCGAGAGGCACAGGGACATGTTGGCAGTTGAGGCCAAGCAGAAGGATCTTGCAGGGACAGCCATGCCAAGGAAGCGCGTGGTCCTTCGGAAGGATCTGCACAAACTGCTCGTCCTGTGGTTGTCTTGCCTTAGGAGGTCGACACAGTGAGATCCCTGGTGTGGAACGTGGAAGAACCCCCTCTTCCACAGAAGGAAGTTGCTTGTCCTTGCAGTACTGTGGGGTTTTTGTTTGGTTGTGTCTGTTTGCTTTGGTTTTTAATGTGTATCCCACGCAGGTGATAGTTTTTAAAGTCTCTTACGTTTCCCTGTCGTCCTCTCCGGTCTGAATTTTTGGTCAGGTTTTGCTTCACCTCTGTAGTCTGGTTGTTCATAGAGCTACTGTTCCAATCCTAAATATCCTTCTGGGCCTGGCAATATCCTTTTGGGCCTGGGAAAGAGCCCCAGCAACAAAACCAGCAGCAGTGAGGCTTCTGGGGGTGGCAGGCACTGGGTCCAGCGGCCACCTCGCTGAGGACACGGACTCTCCTAAAGCAGAAGAGGAGCTTCTCATCCTTTTCCACGCCTGCTGAACACACCCAACCCATGTTTTGTGATCTGTTCATCATGTGTGTCCAAGGCAGCACCTGTGGCACGGCCTGAGTGCTCCCAGGACACTTTGGAACCTCGTGGCACTTTCCTGGGAGCCTTGGGGCCGGTGCCACAATGACTTCGATGTACAGGGAGCTGCCACTCGCTGCCTCCTCCAATCTGTAGGTATTTATGCAATACATTGGAATTATGACTGGAAACTGGCCAGCCCTGGAGTCAGCCAACCTGTGTATGGAAACAAGATGTTGATTCCTGCAGCTTGAGGCCTTCTTCCTTTTTGCCAAAAGAGACTGGATTCTGGGGGAGCACAGACTTTGCTGCCTGCAAGGGAAGAGCTTTAGCAGCTCGAGGCACATGAATTTTAACATGACTGAAAGACCCAGACAGAACCACAGCAGAAAAGGTTTTCCTCTGGGTCCAGGGGTGCAGAGTGACAGTGTTTGTGCATATCTTTGTGGTTTCTGAAGCAATGTGTGTAGAGTAGCTGCAGCTCCTGTCACTGTCCAGTTGCAACACAGTAGTTCTCTCAGAGCTCAGAATTAGGTCCCTGTAGAATTAGGTGGATGCTCTTAGGCTCTTGTAGCACTTCAGGTGAAATCACAGAGCCCTGCCCTAAAGCAATGCTTGAACTGCATGTCATCCTCCTGCAGTCCTGGTCATGCTCCTGCAGTCCTGGTCATGCTCCTGCAGTCCTGGTCATCCTCCTGCAACCCTGGTCATCCTTCTGCAACCCTGGTCATCCTTCTGCAATCCTGGTCATCCTTCTGCAGTCCTGGCCATCATCCTGCAGTCTTGGTCATCCTCCCGCAGTCCTTGTCATCCTTCTGCAGTCCTGGTCGTCCTTCTGCAACCCTAGCCATCCTCCCTCAGTCCTGGTCATGCTCATGCAGTCCTGGTCATGCTTCTGCAATCCTGGTCATCCTCCTGCAGTCCTGGTCATCCTCCTGCAGTCTTGGTCATGCTCCTGCAGTCCTGAGCACTGGTTGTGTGCAAGAAATAAACACTCAAAGCCCAGCACGTTGCCCCTGGAGTGGTGGTGATGGTCTGCAGGGACCCCAGGCCTTTAGGGACAGCAGCCTGGAATGTGCTGGGGAATGGGGAAGGTGCTCTGCTCCCAGGGGAACTGTGAAGGATTATAATCATGGAATCCCAGAATAGTTTGGGTTGGAAGGGACCCTAAAGCTCATCTAGTTCCCATGGGCAGGGACATCTTCCACTAGAGCAGGTCTGCACCGAAATGACCTTGCAGGGGGGAGGAACTTCCATTTTGAATCAGGGTAGGGAAACCTCGGACAAAAATCTTAAAACCCATCCCTTGTTCTCGAGGGTTGGAGCAGACCCCAGCCCTCCAACCCTTTTTGGGGGTTGAAAGCAGATCCCAAAAGATTCCTAGCAGGGGTGCCAAGTTGGGAATGGGGCTGTGGAGTCCCAAGCTTGATGCTGGTAGCTGAGAACAGGCAGAGCAGGGTTCGGGCTCCCTGTTCCCAGTCCCAGATCTGGATGTCACCGAGTTCCCTTGGACTCTGCCAAATGGGCACTCTGGTGACATCTTGGCCTCTCTCAAGTACATCAAGGGAATTTTATCGAGCTCACAGGAGCCCTCAGGTGCTGCCTGAGTGCCAGGCAGAGTCGTGCCATAAAAAAACCACAGGAGCCAACGGAAGCCACACAGAGTTCCCTTGAAAATTGTTGCTGGCCAGTGCTTATCTAACCCACGTGAACACATGCTGTGTGCTTAAAGCCAGGGGTCCCAGAGCAGCCAGCAGAGCCCATTATATCCCTCTTTTGGGGCCACTGTGTTTATACCCCAAGGAGAGTCTGTTCAAGGAGGAAGTGGGGGAGCTGCTGCTCACCACAGACTGCACCCTTCCCCTTTCCAAGGGGAGTGTTGTGTGCTGTGAGGGACTGGGTGCACAGGGCAGCCCAGCAGCCCTGCAGCTAAATCCTGGTCCCTTTGGCAGGTGTTTTGTGGAGGAACTGTGTCCTCCACAAGCTCTGCTTTGCTGTGCTGCCCACGCCTGGCTGTGGGTGTTGGTGTCACCCGGGAGCACCGACACAGCCTTGGATGTGCCAAATCTGGAAGAAACTTGAGGTGTTTTCAATAGGCACCACACAAACACCAGCCCAGGGTCCAAGTCTGCTTTTGGGACTTCAGACAAACACAAAAGCCCCCCTGTTTGTTCCCGTTTGGTTGGGGTGGCCCCTCTGCCCCCTGTGCTGTTTGCTCTTGGTGAGGAGGAATTCCCTGCTGAAGTATCTGCAGCTGTAGGAGCTTCAGCCCAAGCGTCCAGGGTGGCCAGGGAAAGCTGGAAACCCCCCAAGGGTCCCTCTCTGTCCCTGCTTGAGCAGCCTCTTGGAATGCACATCAGTTCCTGCAGGCTGCACATCTGAGATCCCGCACGGCCTCTGTGGGATAGTGGGGTGACATTTCCCTGTGTCCCCTCCCCTCCTGGCAGCACAGGAGGGGGTTTCCACAGTCACCTTTTCCCCAAGAAGACAGCAGTGGATCCCAAAAGTTCCTTGTGTCCGTGGGTAATGTCCAGGTCCACGTCAGTGTTCATGTTACAGCTGGTGCCGATGCACACACTGTGCAGTTTGTCCTGTCTCTGTGGGGCTCTCCAGGAGAAGGGATGTTTTCTGGGGAAGGTGGAATTGCCTCCCTCCTCTCCCACCATCCAACCAAGTGGAAAGCCGGGCCTGGTTCCTCAGTGTGGTGCCAAAGTCCTCTGGTCCTGCATCCCCTGGGAGCAGAGGGATGAATTTCCTGCAGCTCAAACCGTCTTCTCCCTTCTCTTTCCATGTCATTGACCATCTGTCCTGGGGACAGAACAGCCCTGGTTAAACCTGGAGGGTGAAGGAAAAACAGAGTGGGGGAAGAGGAGGCTGGAGGGAAGGAGGAATCACTGTCTGGATCATTAGGAAAAGGACAGGGAGCTGAGCAGCAGCCATGGGCTGGTTCCGAGCAGTGCCACTGGATCTGGGGGCTCAGGGATGTTACAGGGAGCACCATTCCCGGGTTTCCTCTAGCAGGGAGCGAGGCCTGTGGGCAACAGCATCTGTGGGAGGTTTGTCCACCCTGACAGGCCAGTGTCTTGTGAGAGAGGCTGCAGAGCTGCTCCCAGCCCTCCACCAGTGGAGTGTGTTCCCTGGGACAGCTGGTGGTGCCACATCCTCTTGGGAAGCCCTTCCAACCCTCACACACCCATCCTGACACACAGGAACATGCTCAGAGTGCCCTGACACAGCCAAGGGCTGGGAGTGTGGCCTCTGTGACAAACCATGACGTTTGTCACCAGCCTTGGCAGGAAAACCAGACAGCAGGACCCTCCAGCCCTGCCTGGGGCCAGCAGAGCGCTGTGTCCTCTGGGACAGGGGGTGAGGAAGGGCCTGGGGCTGGAGAAGGGCTCCTGGGATGTCCTGGTCCCTTCCAGGCCACCTTCACCTGCGCACCAGGTTGCTCAGGGTGTTGTCCTGACTAGTTCTGAGCATCTCCCAGGGCCATCCCAGCTCCGTGGGCCCTGCCAGCCTCCCTGCTGGCTCCTGCCCCGCAGAGGACACAGGGACTGTGCAGGCAGGGACAGAATGGTGCTGTGTTACCCTCCCTTCTCTGGGTTGGAGGGGCCTGAACCAAACAAAAAGCCACATTTAATGGGAAAATGCCCAGAGGGTGCAGAGCCCTGAGTCCCAGGGCCCCCAACACAGCTGAGGTTGCAAGATGGGGACATCTCTCCTTTCTCCTTTTTTATTTATAAACAGGTATTTTCCTGGATCTGGGACAGCTGGAGGCTGGAAATTATTTGATCCCTTTCCTGTTTATATTTGGCTTTAAAAAAATAAACGACACTGACTTGCTCCCCCCTCCTGCGGTGTGCTGTGCTTTCTGAGCTGCCTCCCAAACCCCCTGCGTGCTCTTCCCTGTGCCCGTGGGAGGCTGACGTGGCCCTGCCAGTGCCAGAGCCCGGTCTGGCACCGAGGGAGATGGTGACAGAATCACCCACCTCTGCACCGGCCCTGCCAAACCTGCCTCCTGCTGCCGCACCCTGGCACCACAGCAGGGCTGGGGTTCCCTTTTGGGGAGTCCTGTGTCACCCCTCTGTCTGTGCCCCCTTGCCCTGTGCCCATCCCGGGTGTCGGTGCAGCTCTGGGCAGTACCGAGGTGGGGAAAAGGGCTCAGGTGGGAGCCGGGGGTTCTCCTCCCTGGGGGAGATCCCGGCCCGCATTCCTGCAGCCGGGCTGGGCAGGGAGTGGGGGACACTGGGGTGACTCCACACCCTTCTCCTGGGGAATGGTCCCCGTGCAGCGCCCAGAGCCACGAGTGGGCACAGCCCGGGCTTCGGGTGCCACCAGCTCATGACGGGAGTGCCCCCGCTTCCAGGGGGTCCCGCCCAGGCCGGGCCCATGTGGAATGCTGACCCTGGAGCCTAAGGCTGCCTGGGCTGTTCGATCTGGAGCCTAAGGCCAGCGGGGGTGTTAAATCTGGAGCCTCAGGACGGCGGGGGTGTTCATTCTGGACCTAAGACAGGCTCGGTGTTAACTCTGGAGCCCAAGGCCGGCTGGGCTGTTTAGTCTGGAGCCTAAGAACTGCGGGGTGTCAACCCCGGACCCAAGGACGGTCGGATGTTCACTGTGGCCCCAGTGCTGGCTCGGTGTTCTCTCTGCCCCCGTGGCGGCTCGGTGCTCTCTCTCTGCCCCAGTGCCGGCTGTGTTCTCTCTCTACCCCAGTGCCGGCTCGGTGCTCTCTCTGCTCCGGTACCGGCTCGGTGCTCTCTCTCTGTCCCCGTGCCGGCTCGGTGCTCGCTCTGTGCCCGTCCCGGCGATGTGCGGGGCGCAGGGACCCGGGGCAGCCCCGCCGCCTCCCCGCCTCCCCGCCCTTATAAAGCGTTGGCGGCGGCGCTCCCGGTGCAGCGCCCGCGGCGCCGCTCCCGGCACGGCCCGGGATGGGCTCCGCGCACTCCGTGCCCGCCGAGATGCGGGAGCTGGCGGACAGGACCGGCTGTGAGTACCGGGGGCACCTTGGCCACCCGCCCAACCCACCCCCGCAGCCTCAGGACGCCCCCCGCCCGAGGGGACACGGGGTGTCCGGACCCGCGGGTGACATGTCACCGCAGGGGAGGGGCAGGACGTGTCACCTGGGGTGGGGAAAGGTGGCACCTGGGAGGGTGGGGGGGTGCAGGAGATGTCACCCGGGAAGGAGGGGATGCAGGAGGTGGCACCTGGGAAGGCGGGGGACGGGGGTGTGCAGGACATGTCACCTGGGAGGGGGCTGCGGGAGGTGTCACCCGAGGTGGGGGATGCAGGACGTGTCATGCCACCCGCGGGGGCTGCAGGAGGTGGCACCTGAGCGGGCGGGGTGTGCAGGAGATGTGATGTCACCCGGTGGGAGGATGCGGGAGAGGTCGCTCGGGGAAGGTGCAGAGGTGTCACCTGGGGTGGGAGAGTGCGGGACGTGTCACCCGGGGGTGGGGGGGATGCAGGTTTGTCACCCGGGGGATGGAGGGGGGGGTAGGGGAGGGGGAATGGGCAGGAGGGTGTAGACTTGTCACCAAAGGGTTCCCGGCATGTCACCAGGAGGGGGGGGGCGCAGCCGTGTCCCCGGTGCCACAGTGCCACGAGCCGGGGCGTGGAGCGGTCACACGGGTGAGCCCCGGCGAGGCTCTGCCCATCCCCGCTCTGGTGCAGGGAGTTGTCCCCGCACGGCTGGTTTGCCCTGGAGCCGCCGGGCCGTGACAATCTCGAGGCTGTTACGGCGCGGTTCGGGATCAAGGGACCCGCAGGCAGGGAAATGCAGCAGGGACAGCCCAGGGCTCCCAGCAGGGGCGGGGGGGTTGGACGGGGTGGCCGCGTCCCTCCTGGGAAACGCCATCGCTCCAGGGCGCGGACAGCTCTGGGCACAGAGATCGGGGTGCTCCCACCTGGATCCTCCGGCTCCTGCCGTGCTGGGAGCAGGCTGGGATGGAGGGAGGGGTGAGGGGACACAGGGAGGGGCGAGGGGACACAGGGAGGGGTGAGGGGACACAGGGA